AAATTCTATAGCTTAGCTAAAATCTTTTGTCCTTGTAAGTAAAAGATGAAATAGTTTAATGAATTTACTATAATAGTAAAGTAGATTTACCTTGAATTTTCTTTAAATACAATTTAATTACCTTTCCATGTCAAAATACTTTTATGGATATAAATGATAAAGAGAAAGTACACTAAATTAATAAAAGTAATAGATATGGAAGCTGTCTCACTATCATGTATTTATTAAATAGTATTGCTTCATTTTTAACAATTAAAACTATGTGGAAGTTAAAAGTAGGATTTCACTAAACTTATTACATTTACACGTTAATTACATTCTGTCATTATTTTGGACCTTATTTAAATTACATTAATAAATTTTCAGAGATTGTTCTCAGTGCACACTATTCTTCGTATTTAGATAAAATTCTTGAGTATATTTGTAAAAAATAGGATCTGAATTTTCTTCCATAAACCGATGAACAATTTTCATATTTTGCAAATCTATTATGATAGAAATTTTTCGATTCTGTTAGTACACTGCCAGTAAACTTTCTAATTTTGCTGGATATCAATAAAATATTATTGTAAAATGCTTTTGCTCTTCTTTGACTTAACAAATAATTTCAATTCAATTTAAAATAAAAGGCTCATTGTTTACTATAATTGTATCTATTTCCTGTGCAATTTTAATCTATAAAAATTAACAATTATACAATGGCTTAGTAAAGAATTTCATCTTTCACGTTTAAAGTTTGAATAAATGTCATCTAATTAGTATATTCTATAGAACATCACCTTTTTTGATCTATAATCTAAAAAAAAGACTGACTATAATAACTTCTTAAGCTATCTTGAAAGTTTTAATAATTGAAAGATTTATCCTTACATTCGCCTTAATTTAATTAAATCTCCTCCTAAAATTATGTTTTTATTTTATTATAATATTGTAGAGTCTTATCTTTGTTCTAATATTAAATTGAAGAACAAATTATTTTTACAGGTTCCAGAGTAATTAAGTTGAAAAGTCTGGGTCTTTTATTAAACTAAAATTCCGATTTTGAAGAGTCTATAGAGGTTGGGGTTCAAATTTAAAATTAATAAATTATCTATTGTCTCAAAAATACCTTAAACAAATTTGTATAAAGTGAATCATTTGATAAGTCCCAAATATTTGCTACTACAAGATCAGATAATGTTATGTCATTTGAATGAGTGAACAACAATTTTTAGCTTTAAGGAGGCTAATTTATAGAGAGAGTTTAATATTAGTTTTGCTTATCATGATTTTGGCAATTCTATGTTTCGATAGTCTAAAAAGATAAGGTTATGTATAGAAAGGGATTAGAAATGTAAAATTTGTTATTCTGAATTATTAATTTTTCTCATCAAATAGACTTTATTGAACTGTCCAGTTAGGAAAATGATTATTATGATAAACAATAATTAAAGCAAATATTTTGCTTTTTGAAATATTTGAACGATTGCAGACCATCCTAAACTAAGTAGTTAAATAGAATACCTCTTGAGAAGTTAAAAAGTATCAGGCTATTTAACATTAATGATTTTGTTTTAAATCATTTTAGCATGTGCTGCTTGTTTTTAAATCATTTTAACCTACTTAAATAGATAAATCTAGATCACCGTTCCAATCAATATTATGTCTAAATCCTTGCATTTTATTTGAAGATTCAAATCTATTTTTGAGATTAAATTTCTTGATTGTTGACTTAATAAATAAATTTTGCAAATGGATATCGAAGTCAAATTTTAATATTGCATTTGATTAGTATCCAAAGTAGTTGCAGTCACTAAAATTGTATGAATAAAAATGAAAAGTTATCTAAATCAGTTGAATTTCTACTTAAATTGCATTTTGGGTAGTGATAAAGATAATTTCAAAGTAATTACTCAGTGTTTAATTATGAGAACATCAACGCTATAGCAGATCTATCGATTTCATTCACATAAATTCCATATTTAGAATTATATTTTTTAAATTGATTAGTCTTAANTTTCCATGTCAAAATACTTTTTTGGATATAAATGATAAAGAGAAAGTACACTAAATTAATAAAAGTAATAGATATGGAAGCTGTATCACTATCATGTATTTATTAAATAGTATTGCTTCATTTTGAACAATTAAAAACTATGTGGAAGTTAAAAGTAGGATTTCACTAAACTTATTACATTTACACGTTAATTACATTATGTCATTATTTGGACCTTATTTAAATTACATTAATAAATTTTAAGAGTTCTCAGTGCATACTATTCTTCGTATTCAGATAAAATTCTTGAGTATATTTGTAAATAATAGGATCTGAATTTTCTTCCATAAACCGATGAACAATTTTCATATTTTGCAAATCTATTATGATAGAATTTTTTCGATTATGTTAGTACACTGCCAGTAAACTTTCTAATTTGGCAGGATATCAATAAAATATTATTTTAAAATGCTTTTGCTCTTCTTTGACTTAACAAATAATTTCAATTCAATTTAAAATAAAAAGCTCATTGTTTACTATAATTGTATCTATTTCCTGTGCAATTTTAATCTATAAAAATTAACAATTAAACAATGGCTTAGTAAAGAATTTCATCTTTAACGTTTAAAGTTTGAATAAATGTCATCTAATTAATATATTCTATAGAACATCACCTTTTTTGATCTATAATCAAAAAAAAGACTGACTATAATAACTTCTTAAGCTATCTTGAAAGTGTTAATAATTGAAAGATTTATCCTTACATTCGTCTTAATTTAATTAAATCTCCTCCTAAAATTATGTTTTTATTTTATTATAATATTGTAGAGTCTTATCTTTGTTCTAATATTAAATTGAAGAACAAATTATTTTTACAGGTTCCAGAGTAATTAAGTTGAAAAGTCTTGGTCTTTTATTAAACTAAAACTCCGATTTTGAAGAGTCTATAGAGGTTGGGTTCAAATTAAAAATTAATAAATTATCTATTGTCTCAAAAATACCTTAAACAAATTTGTATAAAGTGAATCATTTGATAAGTCCCAAATATTTGCTACTACAAGATCAGATAATGTTATGTTATTTGAATGAGTGAACAACAATTTTTAGCTTTAAGGAGGCTAATTTATAGAGAGTTTAATATTAGTTTTGCTTATCATGATTTTGGTAATTCTATGTTTCGATAGTCTAAAAGATAAGGTTATGTATAGAAAGGGATTAGAAAAGTAAAATTTGTTATTCTGAATTATTAATTTTTCTCATCAAATAGACTTTATTGAACTGTCCAGTTAGGAAAATCATTATTATGATAAACAATAATTAAAGCAAATATTTTGCTTTTTGAAATATTTGAACGATTGCAGACCATCCTAAACTAAGTAGTTAAATAGAATTCCTCTTGAGAAGTTAAAATGTATCAGGCTATTTACCATTAATGATTTTGTTTTAATCATTTTAGCATGTGCTGCTTGTTTTTAAATCTTTTTAACCTACTTAAATAGATAAATCTAGATCACCGTTCCAATCAAATATTATGTCTAAATCCTTGCATTTTATTTGAAGATTCAAATCTATTTTTGAGATTAAATTTCTTGATTGTTGACTTAATAAATAAATTTTGCAAATGGATATCGAAGTCAAATTTTATTATTGCATTTGATTAGTATCCAAAGTGGTTGCAGTCACTAAAATTGTATGAATAAAAATGAAAAGTTATCTAAATCAGTTGAATTTCTACTTAAATTGCATTTTGGATAGTGATAAAGATAATTTCAAAAGTAATTACTTATTGTTTAATTATGAGAACATCAACGCTATAGCAGATCTATCGATTTCTTTCACATAAATTCCATATTTAGAATTATATTTTTTAAATTGATTAGTCCTAACTACATATATAGTAAATTCTGAAAAAGAAATGAAATGGATGAAATTATCAAATTATATTTTTAATTTTCGATCAGTAATCTTTTGCTATTGAGCAGTGCTATAGAGAGTATCATTATAATTACTACCATTTTCTATTTTTTTAATAAATAATTTTCAATCAGAAAAACTTCAGAATCAAAGTCATATCTCAAAACAAGGATCATGTCTTGGGCTCGTTGTATATGAGCTTATTTTAAATTTTATATATTTTCAATGTTCATAGGCTTTTAACTTTCCTACACATTATACTGTTCAATATAATTTGATTTGAAGTAATAAATTCTTTAGGCTCAATCTTCAATTCGAATAAGGGCTGTTGAAAAATCAATTTTTTTAAGGAATGATTCATTCAGATGATAAAGAAATAGAAATAGCTGAAATAATTAGCTTCAGACCAATTAAAATATTTTGTTTTTCAATAAATAAAATTCCTATCCTTAAATTTTAAACCCTTTTATATCTAATTTTTGATTTTGGAATGAATGCAATCAGGTGAATTAAGAAGAATTTTTCAATTATTAGAGCTAAGAACTCAAGGGAAGTTGACTAATTAGAACTACTTATCTTCATTTTATATGAATGATTTTAATCAAAACTGTCAAATAGAAAAGAAGTCAAAATTTTATTCATGTGTTTGATTCAATTTTTAACCCTCTTAATGGATGTTATTGAAAATATATGTTTAATTCTCAGGTTTTAATTGCATTTTTAGTGCTTGTTAGAGTGTATTTAGTGTATTAAGGAGTTTGAAAATATTAAAAACAGTTAGTATTTATGTCGTAAATTGTATAAGTTAACATTTTCTTCTTTATACAAAATATGTGAGCTAGGAAAATGACTTAATTGTAATATTGCAACTAAATATTTGATAATGTTTATTAATTTATGAATATAATTAAAAATGCAAAGTAGAAGTATAAAATTTTATTTATATTTAATTTTAGTATGAACTAAAAAATATTGTATTTATTTTGATTCTTTAAATATCAATTTTATTGAAAATGTTAACAGGCTTAATTAAATTATAAACTTGTCAAGTTTTTTCCAGATTGACATCTTCTTAATTATAAATATTTGTCTTCTAATCCTAAATAAGAAGTATTTACTAAAAAATAATTTAAAAATGCAATACTATGATTATTGTACTGAATGGTTGGAGGAGTATCAATTGGAGAGAAATAAAAAGAATTTTATTCTTCATGTAATAATAAAATCATTACAGAACTGTTAATTGGATTTTTTTTTAATTAAATTATCTAATTAATTAATGCATGAACGATATAAATAATTTGAATTATTTGAGAAAAATTTTCTCATAACTGTTCTATAGAAGATATTAATTAATTCAAAATAATTTTCATAATATAGACATACCCAAGAATTAAATTTTGGTTTAATTAAGTTTATTTAAGATTATATTTTCTTACAGAAAGAGAGATAAATATGAATAGGTAGAGTAAGGCTAAAAGTTTTAGAAGGGAAAGTGAAATTGAAATCAAGTTATTTAACAAATTCTATCTATATGCAAAGGGTAATTTTGACACCTGAATTATTAAGAATTGCATATACTAGTTGTAAAAAATGATTTTGATAATGCCTCTTCTTATTTTCAGCCTAAATTTCAATATTTGAATTCAGCCTAAATTATTTACAATTAATTCTTTCTTTATAAGGTCAACTTCCTCTCATCTTCATTAACTTCTTCTAGAATCTGGCTTAAGTCTATTCTTTACTGAGCAAGTTTACAGGGGGAAATGATAAATAATGGCTGTCAGAGTAGCAACTGAACTGCAAATCATCAAAACTGTCCTTTAAAATTTTCTATTTCTTCTTTGATTTGGAACAAATTACTTAGGTATATTGAAACATTAGGCAAGTTAATTTTAAAAAGAAAATTAAATTCATAATAAAATAAAAACAAATTTTGAATATATCGGCTTTTATGAATCTAGATTTCATTTTACTCTTAAAGAAGTTATAAGATAGGTACATATGAGTAAACTATGAAGTGTTTTATGTAATTTAGAGTGTTCTAAATGAACAATTTTTTGAAAATAGATGAAATATTTAAGTTAAAGCAAATAAAGATATAATAAGTGTAATAAATTTAGAATTATATATTCATTTTTAATCCTATTATTTGATACTGACTACTATTAATAAGAAAATAAAACAGAATATAAAAGTCGTTTACAAAAACTAAGAAAATTCCTACAATAGATAAGGTTGACCTAAACTTGAAACAGAGAATAATGTAAAGGAGTGTTAAATGGTTATAGATATAGAAAGGAAAAAACAAACAAAGCTGAAAAAAAATTTAAAAGAAAGTTCAAATTAAATACTTGATAAATAAGGAATTGGATTTGATCAGACAGAGAAATTAAAAAAAAACAATATGTAACAAATAATAAAATGGGGATATCATAAGAAGATTAATGAAAATGATATATTGTTGATTTAATTAATAGTTTAGAGTACAAAATTTAAGGTGAATTTGAAGTTTGTATGTTGGTGGATCCATCAAAACATAGAGAAATATGATACAACTAAATTAATTAAATCGCTAAACTGAAATG